CTGCTGCATTTGGGTGATGCTTCTCTTGCAGAGGAGTAAGAAGGATTGCCCTACATTCAAGCTGCAGGGTCTGCAATGTGGAACAGACATGCCTGAGCCTTTGGGGGCAACAGAAACTGTTAGGAGCTTGTAGAGAGCTGTGCAGTCTATTGGAAGTCAGGGAACTGGTGAAAGTTGCTGAGCTGAGGGAAAGACCAGTTTTACACTGGGCAATGGGGAGGCTTTATTTAGTCTGTCTCATGGGCAGAGCAAAGCGATCTCTCTTCAAAGGCTTACCTTGTACTTCAGTCTCTTGTATCTTTTACAAGGAAAACTTGCTGTGCAATTCAGAGCCCCTGTGGATCTCTGGGTGTGCTTATTTTCAGGCAGAGGTTAAGACCAATGGTGCCGTGGGTCTTGGGATAGGACCCACGCTGGGAAAATGACTGTGAGACACTTCTGTATCTGACAGATATGAAAGAGCTTGAACTGTGGAGTAAGTGAAAGGAAAGGGGGGAAGAGGATGATGTGCAAGCAGGTGAGGAAGGAAAAAGAGGAGTCTCTCAAGTAGAAGATGAGAAGACTTACCTCTCTGCATAGGTAGATAAATTTAACATTTGGATCTAGTACTGATATTATACATTTAACTACCCCTTAAAAATACAAAAATAGGAGGACTACTGAAAAACATACACGCTTCGTCAGGTCTGATTATGGTCTAAGCTTTTGCTCTTTATTTATTATTTTTAAATCCTTGGGGTTATCAGAACAAGGCTAAAAATATGAAAGGAGGGCAGATCTCAATGAAAAGGGACAGAGGGGGAAAAAGTTGGAGAAAATTAATTGCTCAAAGCATACAAGAATTTATGCCAAGGTAGAAATTCTTTTTCTTCTCTTTAAGTAAAAAGTTAACTTTAAATTGATATTTAAATCATCTGTGATGAATTTAGGTTCTATATTTCAGGCAGCTGGCACTCTGCATCTAACTCTTCTTTCCTCTTGACTGAATGCTTGAATGAGGGAGGTGTATTCATAACTTGCATCTAATCCACAGTGAGATTTCCCAAATAGACCGTGATTGATGTTATCACTTATTTTTTGCCAAGGTCTATAGCAAGCCTGTGCTATCCATTTTGCAGCACTTGTAAAAGGGCTGGTTTCTGATCAAAGGTTTGGGTGTTTTATATCTGAAAACTTCATTAGATAGAGAGGACAGTGAATTTCATGCTGCTCTGAAGTCTAATCTTTACTCTTTATTTTCATAGCAAAAAATTAAGTTTCTAGGATTTACTTGCCTTTTATTCAGCTAGAATATCACAGATACTGATGTGAAGCTGTTGAGCTTGTGCATTTTGGTACTGCTAGATGTCAAAGCATTTAAAGGTTTCTTATTGCATGGGCTACAGAATGCAGCAAGCCAGTCTCTTCTTGAACTATTTGTCTTTCAATTAAATTGCTAATGTTTTACCAGTAAAATATATATTTTTAATTAATACAAATTACTTAAACCTTTATAATCAGCTACTGGGGAAGAGGATGACTAATAACTCCTCATCTTCAGTCATCTAGATTCCAGACCCTCTGAATTTTTCCTGCTAGAGGTTGTCCTTCAGTATCTTGGCCTTACTTGAATGCACCTAGCAAAGATATGCCACATGTAAGAACATGAACGAGAGAGAATTATCGTAAAATTGATGGAATGCTTTTTCCTATTAAATGCTTGGAAAAAACATTGAACTACAGGTGGAGAGATGACAAAAGAATGGGAGTTGTGTTTCTGCCTGGGCTTGTACTTGAGACTCTGGGCCAAAGAGGGGGAAAAGTACTGGGGGGGAAGCAGGAATCAGAATATTTCACTCTACCTGCAGTGCAGACTTAAGTGCATTTTAGCTCCAGCATAGGAGAGAGGTAAATGGCTTTTAGAGATTCTCTTAGGCAGTGATTTTGCTGTGTCGGTAAGATATGAAAGATATGAGTAAGAACTCCATTAAGCTGTGCATTAAAAATTTTCAGGGATGTTTGTAATGATTGTTCTCCTGAGCTTTTCCTGCAGTGGGGATTTTTAATGAAATCACAGTCCCTCGTGTAAATATGAATTATTGTTGTAAATTAAATATTTTTCCCATGCAGTATGCTCAAACTCTTCCCAGTCACTCTACTATGGTATGTCTGTAGCAGTGATCTGCAGTGCTCCTATTGTATCTTGTGTAGCTAAACAGACTATCAAAAAAATCCATCCTGTCAATCCCACCACTGATACAGTGAACATCCATAACAGCCTTCTCTATTGTGCTAACATGAAAAGACTCACCAAGTGCTCTCAGTCAAGGTGAAGCCATCTGGTAGATAAAGAGTCTGATCTGATCAGCAGAAGACCAAAGCTTTTGTTACTGACATAGATCTTTCTGTATAAGCAGAGCAGAAGTTTTTATTGTTATTTTTTTCAGATGTTTCCAAACCTGCTATATACACTCTCTCTTTCCACAGGATCAAAAATCCTTGAGTAAGAAGACAAGGAACTCTTGGAAACCTTTGGCTGTTCTGGCTCTGCCAGGTGATCTGCCCACTACTCTGCAGTGAGACCTGTAAAAACAACACCTTGTCCTTGATACCATATTTTGCCTTGAGCTGTATCGATAGTCAGTGTGATCTCCATCATCTGCTTATGATTTGCACTCTGTCTTGATCTTGGTGTATACCCTCTTCAGAGGAGGACAAGTTGCAATGATGGAGGCCAATGCTCCTCTTTCCCACAGAAGTGGGAAATGTACTTGTGGAATCACCTCTCTGCAATAAGCTCTTCAGTGCTTACTAAATCAGCAAAAATTGGAAGGAGACTGAATCACAAAATAGATACTTAGAGTCACTGTTTACGCTCTCCATCTTCAGGAGACTAATTTACCCAGTTACATTAGGTAGCTAATTCGTTTGTGCTGCATCTGTACTTAATGGAGACAGAGAAAAGCTCTTACCAAGAACGATTCACAGACCACAGTTATAATCTTACTACAAATTAGTCTAGAGTTGATGCTTGCTCTCTCCATTTATTAGATAAACTTATGCAGACCAGCCATCTAACTCAGCTAACTGAAGTTAAGCAGTGAGAACATGCCCTTTTGCTGTATGCCATATGGTCTACTGTCTGTCTCTTTTGCGGTTGAATGCAAAACTCGTTCAATGATGTTGTTCAACCATAGGAAATATTTCATGTGTCAGCAGGTGCAATGTGGCCAGTGTATACAATAATAGTATTTTTTTATCTGCTTCTTAAATATATGCATGAACAGCACTTAGCTCTTTAGTAAGGGAAATGTAAACTGCTGTGTGGCCACTGCTCCAGCCAAGATGGAGCATAAATTTCAGTTCTAGTCTGGTCTAGGTATGAAACAATTAATAAAAACAATGGGAAACCTGGTTTGCCTGTGAGAGCATGTATCCAAATGAGAGGTGGCTAAAGGATAATTCCATTTCCACAGAGGGGAAAGGATAGAGTGATTGCCAAGACAGAAAATAAATTAGTCTCAGCAAATCTCTGTGTTAACATTGTCAAGCTCTTCTTTGTATCGGGTTTGGTGTTATCCAGTCTACCAGCTAACACCAGTATTTGAAAGCTGGGCAAGGAGGTGTTAAGCTCAAAAGCTTGAACTGGGGCACATATAGATAATATAAAGCTAAAAGCAGCTTTTCTGCTTAACCCAAACTTTGAAAAATACCACGTATGCACTTTCAGTTTTATGCTGTGTGCAAATGTAAAAAATGCTTAGCTGAAACAGAATTTCTTGAAAGTAATTATTGTCATCCCATGTGGCTAAATATACTTATATCCATACTAGAAATATGCAAGAATAAAAAATGCTGATATTATTTATTTATTTAAAGACTAGTACTGTTGGGTCTATTATTGTGATTTTTATTGCTATGTTACCTATATGTCATCTATCCCCAATATGTATCTTTCCAGTGGAAAGAAATATAAAGGTTTACTTGGAACAAATTTTTTCAAAGAAGGAAACCAAATTTGGAAATGAGGTGTCTCAACCCCTTTAACTGCTTAGAAGAATCAGAGAACATAGAGAATATTTTCTGGAGTAGGTACCCCTAAGAAATATTTCAGGTCAGGTTTGTAAGCAAGCTGAGCAGGGAGGAAGGCAAGCTCTGATCCTAGACGTACTTTTACTCATGTTCTGCCTTACATCCCTGCATTGCAGAGCTTTTAATTAGCCTCCTGGGGCAACCCCAGAGGTGTTACTACAATGGTGGGAGTTTTATTCTAACAGGTAAAAATAAAGGGGGTGCCCTGCCTGCCTGATCCAGAAGTGATAGGTCCTCCCCAGTATGTTGAGACCTTTCAGAAAGTTCTTCTGTTAGAGGGGTTCAGTGGGATGGCCTAGGGAGGTGTTTTAGGAGTTTCCAGTAAGCTGGGCACCCACAGCTGGCCTTAAGCTTTCGGAGGAAAACAACAGGGTGTGTAGTTCAGGTGGCCACAGTTTCCCTCCTGTGACCTCAGAGGAGGAGAGGAGCTGGATGAGTCCTGACCCTCACTGAACATCAGGCACAGCTAATCTGTTGTGCTTTCTGCCTACTGCTCTGAACCCAGTCAGGTGAGGTGGGAGAGCGTCTCAGGTGGTAATGCAGCAGTGAAACTTGTCATCCAAGTCCCCTGGACTCAGCTTCCTTCTGCTGTACTATGTACTAAGTGGGGGCTTCCTCTCCATGTATACCCTTTTTTCAACATACTGTCTTTTGTGAGGATGCATTCAGGCCATGCTGCAGCAGCCTCATGTCCCCATGCAAGGTGTTTGTATCTGGTTATCCTTTGCCACCACGGCTCAGGGAGGGGTTTGAGTCAAAAAGGTATTAGGTAAATAAATACATGTGTGTCTTTGCAAATACTCCTGCATGTGTTGGTGCCTTTTACCACCCCTACTCCACCCCCCTAATGCCCCCCCCGCCCCGAGGGAGTACAGTTCCCTATGGAGTAGTATGGCTGAAGCAGCAGCCACATGCACCACGTGAAGAGGCAGCAGCTTGTGCTCCACCTCAGCTACAGGAGGGGAAAGGTGTGCCTGATTGCTAAGATCAGGACTATCTGGAGAAGTGAGAGCAGAGAGGAGGGGAGAGGAGAAGAAGCAGGGGAAAAAAAAAGGCTTTAAGTGAGAAAACTGATCTTATAGCATGTGGCCAGTATGGGTCATACAGGCTTCAGGAGGCAGTAGGAGCACACAGAAGAAGAGGCTCTGGCTGGGCAGCAGCGCAGAGGAGAAGAGGTGTTGTAGGATGGGGGATTCCCAGCCACCAGCAGGCAGGAGGGGTCTGCAGGCACGGAAGACACGACTGATGGTCAGCTACCCTGCAGCAAACTCAGCCTGGAGCCCAGGTAGGGCAAGTGCACGGACTGTGCAATGTATACATTAATTTTTCATCTCTCTTTAATAGTTTTGGCTCATGACGTTGTGGGGCAGAGGCAGGAGTTTACTGAGTTATGTGGTTACTGTATGGCATTACTGTGTTTGTAGGGGAGGAGGAATATCAGGGGTTTGGTTGGTTTTGAGGGTCGCTGCTTCAGGAGGATACATGAAATTTCAGGTTTTCAGGGAGAGTTTCTGGGCATGGTGTCATCTGTTAGAGAGCAAGCCTGGGGGCAATCTAAGCATAGAAGAGAGAAAACTCAGAGATGCAAATCAACCACTTCACAGAAAACTGCAGAAGAAAGGGAAACAAGCAAGTGCATATAAACCAGTTGCCTGACAGAAAAACCTGAGAGACTGTGGTAGCCAGGTTTGTGTCCATTTTCAAGCTCTTAAGATTTGCTTTTCAGGGTATTGCATCTGCCAAGCTCTGAGGGATCATCAAGCCCCTTTCATTCCTCTTCACCAGGAGAAATGGCTCCAGGATATTTAATTTCCATATTGCTAATAAAGGGTGCTTGTTTTTCTGCAAAGCATAATTTTACCTAAACACCTGGGAACAGCATTGAGCTTGCGGCAGGAATGTTGCCTGAAGATTCATAGGTATCTCTGTGTTTCCAACTGCATATTATATTAGGCTACTAAAGAGCCTCCTTGAGCTTTTCTGCCTTGCTGTTGAGAAGCTGTGTTGTGAGCTAGATGCTGCTTTCCTTTGCTGTTAGAATTTTTAAACTCTTGGCATAACTTGAAAAATACATAATTGCTGCGGAAGTTTAATTTTTGTGTGCTTTCTTCTGCTTCTGCTGTCATCTGGTAAAGCAAGCAGGCAGAAACAGCCTGTGCATGTATCATACAGTCAAGTGTATCCGTGTATACTGCTGTGGGGTTAGCCAGTGTTCCTTGCATTTCATAATGATCCATGATGTTGTGCTTACCTTGAAAGATACGGTTTTGAATGCTGACAGCTCTTTAAAGTGGCTTTTGCTTTTTTTTTAGGTGAAACATCTTCATGGCCTCCCCTCCCCCAGAAACCCCAATCTTACTTGGCTTTGCAATTTAGTAATTTAAAACTATTACATTTGCTTTCTGAGTGTCACAGGTTCTCACACACATGTACACATTTCTGCGCTTTCCTGACAGGGGGTGTGTATATATATATTCACATATATATGCATTTCTGAATGTATTACTTTTATTAGACAATAATTTTAATGTGGATGCAAGAATTGGTTATGGTGAAAGCTGTTATTAGCCTCTGGGATTAATAAGACTGGGACTAATGAGATTAAACAAAGTCAAAAATCTGAAGAACTTGCCTTCACTCAAGAGTTCTGAGTAGTTTTATATAAACTTTTTATAGTCTACCTTTAGTTTTTCTGTATGTTGTATGCTTATAGCTGCAGCATATGCTCTCTTGCAGACAAAACTGAAAGTGAAGCTGGAGGTTTTAGTATAGGCAAAATAGCCTTCTACTGGTGAACAGATAAATCAGAAAACTAATAGTCTTTTTGATATGATGCATCTGTGTTGGTTATTTTTTTTCTCAGAAATGTTAAATTCCATGTACTTTCAGATGAGTTTCTGGAAAGACTATTGGTAAAAGTGAAAATCAGTGTCTACCGGAAATGGTACTGAAGAAAGGAGTGACTGCAAGCATATTTCAAAAGTCTGAACATAAAGTAGGACACTAGAAGTGCTTATGGATTTTTTATGATTATATCAACAGTTAAAACCAGCCATAAATGTCTTATCTTATAGACACACGTACACACTAATTCTCTTGCTTCCCTGAGCATTCATGATAAAGGAGTCAGGCACTATGGGATAATTAGTTTTTAGTTAGTGGATATCGGTATATAGAGAAATCCACATTACAAGCAGCAAAGCTGAGTGTAAAGCTGTGTCCTTTTAGGTACAGCCAGCCAAAGCTACATGTTATTAGCTCCACATTCAGTATTATCAATACATTCAAATGTGTTGTATATTGGCAGCTAAGTCCCTAAAATATCCATCAAATTTTGTTTCCAAAAAGGCATGAGCCAAAGTTTTGTATAAAGAAAAGGATCAAAGTAGGAAGGGTGGGGGCTTGTTGTTAAACATATCTACTGCAATACTGGCTAGTATTGAGCAACATTTTATTACGTTTCACTGAATGTTCTTTAGTGCCACTCGGCTCTTTTTCTGGAGTGGACACACTTGACAGTCCTTGATGTATGTATCCGTCTGTCTAGTGGGCAGCTCAAATAACTCTTGTGGGTGCACATTCATTTATCAGAATTTATTTCTGAACCCCTAGAGGCTCCTCTTCTGAAGGATCTGATGAACAATTTCTGTTCTGTTACTCCTAAATGTAGACAACTGCCACTCTTCATGTTTTAGTACCTGACTAGTTACAGTACCTGACAGAGCTGTGCTTAGAGCAATTAAAACATGCCTTAGATTAGGTGCTCTCGTATTGTCCTTGCCGAAGTTTTGAGCCAGTAGTATGGCTTACCGGTTCCATTCGGGCACGCTCTACCGTTAAATACTTTGTTTTCGGTAGAAGAATTCGTTACATGATCCTGTCTGAAGTCCGACTTGTTACACTGTATTTCAGTGCTTGATGCAACAGTGCCTGTCCTCCAGGTGGGTGTTGCCGTAATTGCCTGAGGGTGTTTGGAGGACCCTCGCAGATTTGAAGCATTTGTCTTCATTTGAAAGTCTAGTTTTGTGGATGCTCAGTCTTGCACATATCACAAACCTGAGAGTTTTAAAAGTAAGATAATACTCGTAGGAGAGACATAGAGAAGTCTCCTTATTTTGCACTTATAGGTAATAAGTGATCCAAAAGTAGTGTCTTTTTAATTCTTCTGTGTTTTGTTGTTTTGTTTTTTTTTTTTGGGGGGGGGGGGGGGTGGGGTGGGTGCAGTGGAGGTGATACCATTTGCAGTGGAACAATCTCTACAGGGTAGCTCTCCTCCACAGTCTTGTGGCAAACTGTCATAATAAACCCTACTGTTTTGTGTCACAATGTCATATAAATTGATCTGTTATGGTAGATCATCTTACGGTAAGATGGAATGCAAGTCTTCAGAAATTGGAAAAATACTTACAGAATGCAACATAAAGTGTAGTTTAAAGGAAATGTGAAAGAGATTGAAAAAGATTCCAAGCCATTGATTGGTGGGTGAGAGGACTGCTAAGAACTGTAGCAGAGCAAATTTGCGTTCTGGCAAAGCCTATGCATATAATAGCAGAGCAGGATCTGAAGTGGCAGTGAGGTGACTGTGCTTCCCACTTTCCGATTTCCACTGAGCTGTGACACTCACGGGTCAGAGCAATGGCAGTAAGGTATTGATTTAAAAATAATAAAATAATAATAATAAAATTACATTCTAGTGGCACTGAGAAACCCTCAGGTTGTAATGTGTGAACAAGGTCCTGCAGAAATCTGGGTATAAGCAAGACTGAAACAAATTGTAGGTTCACACATTGGAATTATGCTGGTTTATTTCATGCTAAATGCTGTTTTGTTCAGTATAAGGAGAATATGTACTGAAAGTGTACTTTCAGCGTTAGACCAGCATTTAACAGCATTACTGATAGTGGACCAGGATAAAATATTTTCATGGGGCAGACTAACTTCCAAATAGGAATTGCTACTACCTTATAATTTTGAAGGAAGCTATAATAAGTTGCTACAATATAAGGGCACAGATTTTAACTCCTCATATCTGTTGTCAGGTTCTGATGCTGTTGGCCCTCTTGCAATAGGACTGCTTCGTTGGAGAAATCCACATGTGTATGGGAACCCCCACCTCCCTCCCACCTTCTCTGAAGATGCCTGTGTTCAAGTATTTCAATATTTTGCTGCACAAAATGACTTCTCACATCCTTTATCCTGCCCAGCTTCACTTTCTATCACTCCAGTGCCTTCTTACAGTAGTAGCAGTCAAGAAACTTTGAGTCAAGACTCTACAGGTAAGTGATTATTTCTTTTTTATATGACAGAGCTCAGTTTAATCAGCAGTTTTAGTGGTGAGGTTAAATAGCTGTTTCTGCCTCCAGACTGCTTTGACTGCTCTTAAGGAAAGGTTAGATCACAGAAACTTCATGAAAGAATTTATGCTTATGCCAAGTAATCCGTATTGAAACAATTTGTCTAATGGTTTAAAAAGTATCAGAAACAAAGAGTGTAATGTTCTTGGCCACAATAATATCATTAGTGTAGTGTGTGTTTGTTTTAAAACTGGCAGACCAACTGTTTGATGAGGGTGGATCCATGGGAGTGTATGGAGGCATTTGAGGACAGTATCCTCTCTTCTGTAGCTGTCATAAAACTTCATGTGATGGAGGATACCCTGAGAAGTCCATCATTTATTCAAAATGCTATAAGCATCTGACTAATCACAAAATAGGGTGTACAAGGAACATCCTGCTGCATGCATGGGAACACACTTGTCATCTCACCCTGTTAGAAAGCTTATGTTGGTAAAAAGCTATTAAGAGAGAGCAGCATGCTGGTCAGAAGCATGATTAGGCCCTTCCAGACTGGGGTTTGGAGGTCTCTCAGAGTCTGTAGGAAAGATGATGTTGTGGTGTGAGACCACAACCCACCACTTGGCCCACAGTCTCTTCCCTTATGTCTCTTGAATTTTTGATCATGATGATTATAGGAAGTGGGTCATGAGCTCAGCACATCTTTCTGGCTGGCAAACGAGGCCCTGATCTACATGCTTCCTAACTGAATCCCTATAATTACATTAATTTTGATTCATGCTGCCTTTTTTTTGTTGTTGTTGTTGTTAAGTGGAATTAGCAAGGTTCTGCCTTAGTGCCAGTTTCAGACAGGTATGTATGGAGAGTGGGGTTTTAGAGGATTCAGTATTGAGAAGGGTAATGCTAGAAAAGGACTGGTCTAAATACCTAGTGCTGACCTAGTTCTTAAAATCGTAATAATTGCTGACAACAGTGGCTGAATGTAATCTGTAGTAAAGAGTATAATCAAATATCTGTATTACTTCTGGTTTTTATTACCGCTTTTTTCGAGGTAGCGCATTAATGGGATTTAGAGTAACTGCTGTAGTGATTACTTCATGTTGCCAAAAATAATGGACTTAAAACTCTGTGGTGGTGCTAAAATAAAAAAGAAAAATAAATAATTGATTTCTCCCTTCCCAGAACCTTTTGATCTAATGGTGTATCATTCAGAGCTGGTTGGATGCTGATGGTAGCTGAAAGTTCTGGGCTCCTGCACTTCAAGTACCATTCTTCATGCCTATTCTGATGTTGACACTTGCAAAGCAGGAGTGTTAGGGCAAATGCTAAACAACTCATGCAAGGTTAAATGCTGTGATTTTCATCTATCTTTTTTTCTGCTTCCAATTAAGAGCAGTGTAAATCTGCACCTCCTGCTCACAATCCAGTGTTCTTTGTATGATCTCTGTGACTATATCCTGGAGGCTTAATTTTTATCATAGTTTATTTCACCATCTATTTTAGTTATAGAAGTACTAGATCTGCTGTGAGATAGTTAATATTTTCCTGATGTGATGACTGACAACTTTAGTTTTAATTGTGAAGTTGTTTTGGGACAGAGAAGTGGTGAGTGAGCCTTACTGTAGTGTTTACAGGCACCTGCCACCTAGAGGTGTTGCCGCTGGAGAAGGGGAGAAATGTTAGTTTAAAATAATAGTATAAAATAATAAAACTAATAAATAAAGTAATAAAAATAATAAAATAACAAAACTTGTTAAGGAGCTGCTAGCACTACAGAACAATTTTCCAGTTCTAAAGTACCAATGCATGCAGCCAAAGGTGCCAGAATGGTGTTATATTAGCAAGTCAAATACAAATGCCCTAATTCTGATCTTAGTTTAAGAACCTACAGGGCCTCTGAAGAGCTCACAGTGAGATGTTTATAAAAGTATTGAAGCATGGCAGCATGGTTAACACAGAAGTAATGTCAATTTTCACAGGGCTGGGATGTCCTGCTGCAAAGTGTGATCCATAGCACAAGATAGTCTTCATCCCGAGGATTTAATGTCCCAGTTTCTGCACCCAATGAAACAATTGGTGATTCATGGGATTATTTTAAATCAAAATGTCTCCTGCAGCAGAGGAAAGGGTGCTGCATGTAAGCAGGGTTAAGTGTTTCATATATATTGATTAGAAGTGCTTCACCTTATTTCATAGGTGTATGAGAATGTTGTGTCAGTGGCTTCTCTGTATGACTGGATGTTGTGTCTGCAAAACCAGGATAATCCATATTGCCATTATGATGCTTCTCATGCAAAGATTCCTCAAGATTTTTTGAATGTTATCAGTTTTCAGTGACTGTCTTGCCATTATTGAAAACTCTTTGGCAGCAAAGATAACAGTTGTTCAGCAGCATACAGCATGGCTATGGAAGCTCAGGCAAGAGTACTGCATCAGCTGAAATGGGGTAGTCTCTGGAAAGACAAAGGGTAATTTAGAGATTGATTAATGAGATAGGATATATCTTAAAGTTGTATCCAGGCTTATTTACGTCCAAGACTACTTCATTAGCTCATTTACAGGAACTTGATGTGCAGAAGAATACCATGCTACAGGCTTGCTGTGCTGTTTCTTGTGAATTTACAACAAACTCTGTAACATTTTAATAACAAATTCTTAAAAAACAAACTATGCTAAACCACCAGTATATAATGCATACATTACATACGTTGTCATTTCAAAAGAATTCTTTTTTAACTACTGATGGTGGGAAAGTTCTCTGGCTTCCTACTGAGCAGGGCATGTTCAGGGCCTTGTAATAAACTGTGCTTGGGGATATCTGAGCTTGAATTTTCACATTCAGAGCAACAAGACAATGTTGTGGAAAATAAGGCATTGACACAATGAAACTCCGTCTATTAGGATATGGAGTATGAAGAAACTGCAGCTAATAGTATCTGGGGAGCAGGTCTTAGTGGGTGCTTTGCATCCTACTTGGAAATACTACTGTCAATGTAGCATTTTTGCTGCTTTGCACCATTCTTGCAATGCTGGATGATTTATAGAGTAGTGTCAAAGTTTGTCCTTGGTGATAGAGTGTAATTGACATCAGAATCAATCAATTTCACTTACACTGGAAAGGAATTCTTGAAATTTTTATATTACTTGTGATTTGAAATAATGTGTTTTCCGAAGATTGCACTGCTTAATAAAAACCATGCTTCTGTTGAAAATGGAACACAACATTCTTCTGTATGGATTTCCTAACCTGGAAAATCTTGTGAGGGCATATCAGAGAAAAACATAATTTTGATAGCTACTTCATAACTATGTATGAGTTTTTGGAACTGAGCTTTCAAGAGTTCCTGTTGGTTAACTTTGTCTCTTCTTATGATAATTATCTAATTCTTAATTACCTTGAACAATATATTCCAGAATATCCAGAAAAATTTGCTAGATAAATTGGATTGAGATCAATAGATTTTCATTGGATAGGAATAAGTCAGGAACTGAACAATACCTGTCAAGTTTGTGTCATCTGCAAGTCTTAAAAAACCATAAAATAGCACAATTCATTAAAATTTTGAATATAACAAGTCTTCCTGAAGGAAATTCCCATTTTTAACAATAATAATCTGAATCATAGAATCGCAGAATAGTTAGGGTTGTAAAGAACCTTAAGATCATCAAGTTCCAATGTCCCTGCTATAGGCAGGGACGCCTTGCACTAAACTATGTCACCCAAGACTCCATTCAAACTGGCCTTGAACACTGCCAGGGATGGAGCATTCACAGCTTCTTGGGCAACACATTCTAGTGCCTCACAACCCTCACAATAAAGAACTTCCTTTTTATATCTAACCTGAACTTCCCCTGTTTAAGTTTGAACCCATTACCAGTTGTCCTATCACTACAGTCCCTAATGAAGAGTCCCTCCCCAGCATCCTGAATCTTTTCTTTCAACTATTTCTGACCTGAAATTAGTGCACCTTTATCTAGACTGTATTTCTGCTGTTTGTTCCTTACAGGGACCCGTCTCTTTGTATGCCAGATCAGCTGCTTTGAATGCAATTATATTGATTTGCCATGAATAGTTCCAGACAAATCTGTTGGCTCTTTGTTATCATCTTGTTTTCTCCAAGGTGCTTACAGACAGCTTGATTTATTGCTTGCTTACTAGTTTGTCACTGTCTCTTTTCAAATATTGATGTTAGGCTGACTGGGCTGTAATTACCTGCAGTACTTTGTTTGCCCTTCTCCACTGTTATGGGATCTTACTCCATCTTTACTTGGATGGAGTCCCCCTTTTAATGTATTTAGGTTCCTAAATCCCAGCAAGGTAACTGAAATGTGTGGGCATCTGTGTGTCTTTTCTGGGTCTGTGCTTGATCTCCAGTGTGTGAATGTATGGAATAGATCCATTTCAGAAGAACTTTTACTCCCAGCAGAGACAGGGAAAATGAAGAGTGCTTAAGCCAGCTGGACCCTCTTCAGGGATGCACCTGGGTCTGTCCTATAGTTGGTCAGAAACACATGCTTCTGGAAAAAACTGTGTTCTTACGACTGTGGTACATAACTTTTTGCAAACTTAAGAAAATCTGAAAGAATGTTTCAGCTTCATTGCTCGAATCTCTTGGAAACCTGGCTGCAGCTCGAGTCCCCTGTTTTGTTTACGTAAATTCCTGTGACCTCTTCATTTTATTTTCTTGGTGAAATCACAGCATCAGACCTCTTCCTTTTGTTTTTACACTGCAAGATATTGCCTCCTGCTGTGACTGCTATATTTGACATGACAAAAAACCCAAATTCATTTGTTATATATTACTTGATTTGTATGTTAGTGCATACTTAAATGGATTCTTCGATTCTGCAGCTTCCATATATTTTTGACAGAGATGTCTTGTCTCATGTAGTTTTTCAGACCTCTTTTAAATCACACAATAGCAGTAAAAAGCTATATAAAGAGATTTGTGACATTGACTACTTCTTAGTAGGGTGTAGGA